CATCCGAAAGAATTCCAGTCGGCAAATTTAAATTTTTGCCAGTGCTGTGGCGCTGCAATCTTTGGCTATGTCTTGGGCTACTCAAATATTTTACGTTTTTGATACTAAATTAACTTCTGAAGTATAATTTTTTATTGTTTTTATATTTTTCAATACATTTATTTTGTTCGTACAAAATAAAAAAATAATTTTTAACGATACAATAGTCTTCATTAAGCTTAACATTGACAAAAATTCAATGCAAGGTGACACGCAACGGAGAAAAATTTCAACACGGAATAAATTAATATATTTTTTTGTACATAATCGGTTATCCGAAACATCGATCTTTCGAACAACCCCAGTCCCCAATTGATTCGGATAATCGATGCTCTACTGTACCTCAAAATACATAAATTTACAAACAAAATATACAATACAATATTAATGATATACAAAACATCATTAACATAAAACAATTCTTAATATACAGTATTTAATACAAGAGGAGTTCTGTCCAAAAAAATGAATCAAACTTTAGACAGAACTTTCCATTAAATATTTGTGATATTCTAAATATTATCACTAAAAATTTTTCAAAATAATAAACAGTTAAATAATGTTTAATAATTAGTCATATTTTAAAATGGTTTGTAAAATAAATAAATACAAATTTCTTGCATCAAAATTTACTCAACAAAAATAATCAACACTGAATGCATGGGAACTGTTTTCTTTTATAATTATAGAAAGTGTTTTGCATTACTTAGGCTTTTTTTTTTTTTTTTTTAGAGTTATTGTTTAAATACATTTTCCAGAAATAGTGAAAATTCAATATATTTTTTTCCTAAAACCATTTGTAATTTTAATTTTTAATAAAAACCTTTGTGCCATAAATATATTTGTGAAGATTTTGTAGTAGCAAAGTATGTTTAAAAATTTTTCAGAAATTGTTTAATATTTTATTAATTGACTTATCTGTTCATGAATCTTAAACACTTTAATGATAGGAATTTGAAGAAGATGCGTTAGCATGGGAAGAAAAGTTAAATCGTATTAATGCTTTATTTGATGTATGGATTGATGTTCAGCGTCGTTGGGTTTATCTTGAAGGTATTTTTTCAGGAAGTGCTGATATTCAAACACTTCTTCCTGTTGAGACATCACGATTTCAAAGGTAAAAAAAAATCTGATAAAAACTTTTTTCAGTTTATTTGTAAACAAATTAATTAATTTTAATTTGAATTTCACTTGTAGCATTAGTGCAGAATTTCTTACATTAATGAAAAAAGTAGCCAAATCTCCACTTGTGATGGATATTCTGAACATCCCTGGTGTCCAGAGGTCTTTAGAACGTCTGGCTGATTTACTTGGAAAAATTCAGAAAGCACTTGGCGAATATTTGGAAAGGGAACGATCATCTTTCCCAAGGTAATGTGCTTTGAAAAAATTTAAATTCTATAAAAATTCTATGCCTGATAATTATGTTTCATTTAGATTTTATTTTGTTGGAGATGAAGATCTTTTGGAAATTATTGGCAATAGTAAAAATATTCCACGTTTACAAAAACACTTTAAAAAAATGTTTGCTGGTGTTGCTGCTATTATATTAAATGAAGATAATACTATTGTTAAAGGAATTGCATCAAAAGAAGGGGAAGAGGTTTGTTTTATTGAATAAACTTAATTTATTCAGTTAAAACTTGTCAAAGAATTAAAATTTTTGATAACTATAAATTAAAATTTAAGTTAGCAATATTATTTTAGTATTTCTAAAAATCAAATATTTTTGATTTATTTGTAATACAGTAGATCCCCCTATAAGACTGGTTCCTATAATTACGATTCCTATAAGACTGCGAAAAAATTGTGGCGGTATCTGTACACAACGGTAAAATGACTCCTATAATTACGTAAAATGTCATTGGGCAGCCAAACTACTTTCCCGCCGTCTGTAACGCCACGCTATGGACATTTAGGCGGGTAAATTGAGTTTAGTTTCGTCTGTACATATAATTATATATAAATTAGGTACTGTATATATAATTATATATTAACTTAATTTATTGTAACTTTATTATAATTATATATATGCTTTCCGCCACCTGGCGCCACGCTACGGAGAGTTTAGGCAAACTATCGTCTGTACAGTATGTAAATTAGGTACCGTAAGTCTAATACAGTACTGTAATTTTATACATTTCTTTTGAAAGAAACATTTCTTATTCAACAGCGATCAAAATTATTTATATTAATGATGTCTCCAAAGTTCAGTGAAGTTTTCGCAGAAAAATAACATCAGAAATCGCGGCCGTGGTTTGCTGAGTTGTTCCGCGACTAAAACAAGCTTGAGCAACGGTGATGTCGAATGGTGCACACTCGGTAAATAATCCTACAATTTTTTGTTTATAGCATAGTTTATACGGATTATTTCCAAAAAAAAATATACGTATTTTGGAAATGTTGAGTCGGATTAGTCTAGAATCGATTAATTTTATGGAAGAAAACCTTTCAAACAGCCGTAGTCCGTAAACTTCACATGTGTCGGGCTGTGATTCCTACAAAATCGGATTCATAAAGAACGGAACGTATCTACCGTCTTATAGGGGGATCTACTGTATATGATATGATCTCTATTAAATTTTTAATGTATATACATAAAAAAAAACTTATATCAATTATTAGCCTATTACAAACATAATTTTAATTTATGTAAACAGGTGGTTTTCAGTACTCCAGTGTCAATAACAGAACATCCAAAAATAAATGAATGGCTTTCACTTGTTGAAAAAGAAATGAGAGTAACGCTTGCTAAATTATTAGCTTCAGCTGTAGTTGAAATTGTACCATTTAAACAGGGAAATATTAGACCATCTGAATATATGAAGTGGGTTGACAACTATCAGGTAAATAAATTTTAATTATTTTGTTTTTGTAAATAATTTTAACTAATAATAATCTGCTAGTCTTTCTTTTAAAATATATCTAAAATTTAACAATTATACTTTATTCAATGAAAATTTTAATGCAATTTCACTTCAATTAATTAATGTTTACTTGATATAAAGCTTATAGGAAACATGTAAAAAATGTTTTATTTAGAAATATCGGCAAACGATCGCCTAAATAATCTGGCTATATTCGGACTAAATAATTGTTTTATTTATTTTAATGTGTTCCAATCAGTCTAATATAAATAAACTCTTAGTTATTCCTTGAATATCAACAGGTTAAACAACTCCTGTGATCAGTTATTTTTTGTATTAATGTAGCATTGTAATATGATATTAATATTTTGCTTTAATAAAAGCATTATTGACTATTTGAAAAGCAGTAATTCACATATTTCTTCTGTGCTATTTTAAATAATTTTTTTTATTAAAAGCATAAGTAGATAATGATTATTACAATCCTTTGAAAATCCTAAATCATTTAACTTTATTATGCACACAATTGTTAAGCATTAAGAATAGTCATATACAGTGTGGAATTGTTATTGAAAAAGAGGTATGTTATTTCTGCAGCAAAATATGTGATATTCATAATGCAATATTCAAATATGAGTACTTTTTTTCCTTATGATTAAAATCGTTTTATTTTTTATAATGCTATTGTCATTTATTATTAATGATGATTAGTGACAAAAATCTTTAATTTTTTTAGTATAAAACTTAATATTTACATATAAACCAAAAAAATTTGTAGTAGTAAATTATTTCACTGGATTTAATAGGGCTATGATACAGCTAATTAATTATAAATATATACTGTATAATTTGATATAGGGGTAAATGATTAAGTTGCCATCTTATTTTAAATCTTAATAATTATAAATTAATTAATAATCTGGAAGAAAAGATCTATCTAGAATGGCACTTAATCTTGCAACTCCTGCTTGCCATGCAAATGCATTGCTAGTTATACTAACCAGACCTCCATCTAATCTTTGCTTACAGATCAATTAATTCAGAAGATATAACCATACAGATAGTATGGTTGTTATTAAATTATTAAATTTAATACAAGATGACAACTACTTGCCTTTAGTATAAATTACATATCTTTATAATTAATTAGCCATGTTTAGCTTGATTTAAAATTTAATGTTTATGTATATCTAATATAAGCACTCAAAATAACATTTTAGAGGTGTAAGAATTGATGAAAAATAAATTTACAAGTTCAAACATTGATGACAATGCGTATCTAGATTCATTTTGAGATTCTCCAATTCCTATTGTATTATTTGTAACAGCTGAATAATTCAAAATGTATTTTGAACCCATAAAAGCATGCCAGCAATGTTTTACTAAACATTTTTTATTTGTTTTTATGAAATAAATACATTTTATCTTTGTCAAATATGATATTTTTGGATATTTTATTGTTGAAACCTGATAAACTTACTAAGAAGGTATGAAGAAATTAAAATAGTGAAGTAAAACACATTGGTTTAAGAAAATTACAGTAGATGACTTGCTCCTGATTAATTTAACATCAGAATAAGTTTCAACTTAAGAGAACAAATGATAGAAAATATACGTAATACATACAAAAGGACCTTTGTGAAGTTTAAAGTTTTAATTTTTCTGACATTTTAACAGCTTAAATAAGCTTGGTAATATAGTTTCTATTAAAATTTTATAAATTTACTTGAATTGTGTTCAATTCTTTTTGTGAATTGAAGTTAAGTATTATTTATATTTGAATTATTTTCTGTTGAAAATTCTGAAAGTACATAGCTTTTTGTGGGCATAGTATCAGACCTGAAGCAGTTATAATCAATAAGACTATGATTAAGATTAAATTAGTTGTCCTGATAGATAGGATTTTAATAAATTTGAGGGTTTATCACATCAGAGCAGACTCCTAGAAATGGTTAAAAACAAGTAAAATAAAAACTGTAATATTAAATTAGACGACTGAGAGAAGTTAAAACATTGTATCTTAAAATGGAATATGTATTTAATGTTTTTTGAAAAATTAAAAAAAATAATTAAAAAATTTAGATATTATCTTAGTATCAAACAATATAAGAACCATAGCAAAATGATTAATGGTAAATATAAAAATAATGAACATAATGATTTAGAGAAAGATAATGTAGTTTATTCAGTAGATTGGTATTGTTCACATAAAAAAAAAAAAAAAAGATGTATTGGTGAAGATTAAAGACAAGAATTAAAGAACATATATATATATATGCTTATATTTGCATCTGTCCTATAAGACGACCCTGGATTTTGGAGGCTTTTTTTTATGATTCAACTATTGTCTTATCTGCTGAGATATATGGTATATGTTAGGTAATTTTAGTTTTTTAGAATATTGTGATGAATTAACTATATTGTGAATACAGTGCACTGTATACATCAAAAAATCCTTTTGTCTTGGTTTACTACCTGTGTTAGGATTGTATTAATGTTTGCTAGAGTGGTACTATGTGTATGTATGCCGATGAGCGGTCTTTATACTTGAAATGCATTCTTACTTAAATTTGATTGTGGTTATTAAAGACTATTTTTTGTAAAATCTAGTCTGATTATTCTGCCCTGATGTGATAAGCCCTCCAATTTATTAAAATCCTATCTATCAGGATAACTAATTTAATCTAAATTAAAGTTGTGGGCTTGAAGCGTTATTTATTAAAATAGACCATGATTATTGTAAATTGAAACTGCAAATATATAAATAAGATATACTGCAAAGACATCAGTAATTACTAAAATTGTGATAATTTTCAATTATCTTTTACTTCTGTGTTTATAATCTATATATTTTAGCACAAAAATACTCTGACAGAAAATAACTGTTAGGATAATTATAGTTAATAAATTTAAATGATTTCCAATCAGTTGCAAATATTATAAAATTATAATATAAAATATTACTTCAGCCAACACCACTTGTATTTAATTATTTTATTACAAATACATTATGACCATTTCTACATATATTATTCATTGTGCATATCAACTTTAAAAACAATTCAGTATAAAACTTGCATGAAATTTAAGTGATTTATAGCTACAAGTTCTGAATAAATTTTGCATATTTATACAATATTTTTCCTTCTGTTGCTTTGATTTTAATTTATCAAAATTATTATAGGACTAATTATCTTTCAATAGACTTTTGAAGAAGCTGATTTTATTTAATAAAGTTTTTAATATTTCAAATAGTTCATTATAACAGTTGAATAATTTTTAATATTTTTATACTGTTACCATAAACAATTTCAGAAAATGTAAAAATCTTAATTTATCAAGAATATTTATCCAAAAAGAAAAATTTAGCATTTTATAAAGAACTAGCTTTTGCCCGCGGCTTCGCTCGCGTTAAGAAGTATTATTATTAATTAGGTATAGTTTTTGCGGCTTTACTTTCGTTTAGCGTGTGTAAAAAATTAGGGCCTACAAAACTTCTTTGTACAACTATGTACAAAGGGTACAATATAATCCCCGCAAAAACTATACCTAATTAACCCCCGTCAAATATAATCCGCTAGAAATATTTAGGTATAGTATGTACTATTAGATACGGCGGCCACTCATCATCGGGTATATGTAACTCAGTGAAAACACAACGATAGCGCGTTTTAAAATACTACTAACGCCATCTATTGTCAACATTTAGAACTAAAAATTATTTTGTTCGTCTTAATTTATTCGTTCCATTAGGTACTGATAGGTTCAAACTAATACATTTACATCCTCCATCATCCCTTATTTTATCCCCATGGGGGTTGAATTTATCAAAATCCTATTTAAGCGGACGTCTTCATCATAGTAGCTCCAATCTTTAATTTCAGTTCAATCAGTCGAAAATCTAAGAAGATTTATACAAACTTTCATCCCCTATTTTATCCCCTTAGGGGTGGAATTTATCAAAATCCTTTCTTAGGGGATGCCTACGTCATAGTAGCTTTATGCATGCAAAGTCTCAGCCCGATCGGTTTAAAATTGACAAAGTTTCATACAAACTTTCATCCCCTATTTTATCCCCTTGGGGGTAGAATTGATCAAAATCCTTTCTTAGCGGATGCCTACGTCATAACATCTACCTGCATGCCAAATTTCAGCCCGATCCGTCCAGTGGTTTGGGCTGTGCGTTGATAGATCACTATGTCAGTCACCTTTGAGTTTTATATATATAGATGTTTTAAATTATTTTGACTTTTCAAAATTTTAAAATAATTTTAAAAACAAAACTTATTTTAATCGTGTGTTAAAAACATTTATTTTTAGTCTCAAATTGTGGTCTTGGCAGCACAGATTTCATGGTCAGAAGATATTGAAAATGCATTACAGACAGTTGCTAATAAAAGTGACAATGATTTGAAACCAGTTGAAGATGTATTACAGGCAGTTGAATCTACACTTAATGTTTTGGCTGATTCAGTTTTACAAGAACAACCTCCTCTCCGAAGAAAAAAATTGGAACACTTAGTAAGACCATTTTTATAAATTTTAATAATAAATATATTAAAATATAATAATAATTATTATTATTATACAGATTACAGAATTTGTACATAAAAGAGATGTTACTAGAATGTTAATCAAAAATAAAGTTACCAGTCCAAAATGTTTTGACTGGCTCAGTCGAATGCGTTTCTACTTTGATCCTCGCCAACCAGATGTATTACAACAGTTGTCAATTCATATGGCAAATGCCAAATTTAATTATGGATTTGAATATCTTGGTGTTCAAGAAAAGTTAGTTCAAACACCTTTAACTGATCGATGTTATTTAACAATGACACAAGCATTGGAAGGAAGACTTGGTGGATCTCCGTTTGGTAAATTTATTATTATTAAACTAAATGATACTAAAATTTTAATCATATCTGTTTAATTTTCAGCGAATGAGAGTTTTGTATGAAATGTCTCTTATTTAAAGCTTGTGATATTGAAAAATATCTTTGACTTAAAATTTAATTAAAAACATTAGTTTCAAATTATAATTGCACAATTTGTGTAACTATATAAAATAAATAAATTTTTATTATGCTCATTTATTATACATAATGTCATTCATTAAAAATAAGGTTATTTTTAAAAAATTTAGAAGAAATTCAACTGATATTGATATTTGGAGAATTGGTAATGATAAGTTATGAAATGAAGTATTCTAAATACTGTTATTCAACTCTAAGACTAGTTACACTTAATTTTTATAGAATTAAATTGTAAGGATAAATAATACTTTGGTGTAATATAACAACAATTTTATTCTATAGTTGTATAATCATTTTCAAATATTTTTTAAATCTGAAGAAACTTTTATGATTATTTTCATATTTCACATAATTCATATTTTTACATGATAGTTTCAAATTTCAGAAAGCTCAGTTATAAGCAGTTTTAATTTTAATTATATTTAGTATTGATACAAAATTGGAATGTCTTTAAAACAAAACATACTTCACATTTTTTAATCAATCATAATCCTCGAAGTAAAAAACAATAATGTTAAGTGAATCAATGGAGTTTGTAGTTTGTGCATGTGTGTGTGCATGCACACACACAACACACTATATATAGTCTAAAAGTATTCTGTATAAATAATATTTTTAATACATTTTATAGGTCCTGCTGGAACAGGAAAAACTGAATCTGTTAAAGCTCTTGGTCATCAGCTTGGAAGATTTGTTCTTGTATTTAATTGTGATGAAACTTTTGATTTCCAAGTATGTATAATTTATAGTACATTTTTAATGTAATTTTTGATACATCAATTTTAAATATCTGTTTCTGTAACAATAATTAAATTCTCACTACACAGCAAATAAATGATATAAAAGATTAAATTATTGCATTCTATACATAAGAAATTAATATAGCTTCAAAAATTTACAAATATTATTATAAAATATATAATTTGCAGTAATTAATATATGTACTGTTTATTTTTTTAGTTTAACCCTCCGTAAGTCGCTAGGAATGGGGCCCTTACTTGAGTCGCATGGGTCTTACAGACCCAGTGTTTTTAATATGAAATAATTCAATTTTATCTATCGCGTAAAGAAACTACAGTTTCTTAGTTGGATTCTGCGCTTTGTTTTCTATCTAGTGATATAAATTACTTGCGTATTGACAAAATGAATTTTTTAATATTTATTTTTATGTAATTCGATACGAAAAACGCAAAAAAATAAACATATCAAATTTCAACTCGCTGTAATTTATCTCCTGTTTCACCGATTGCCATCGGGTTTGTTTGTAAGTGGGGAAGAAATATGACACTTTCAAGCGAAGTGAGTAGAACTTTTGCACTACTGCGAGAAAATTTGTCAACCGACCCCGCGTTACCCCCTACCGCGAAAGTCAATAAACGTTAATTGTTTTATGACTCTATTTTCAACACTTCTTTTCTGAGTTGTAAATCGACTAATTGACAAAGATTTTACTTCATTTTACTCATAAGAATGTTGTCTTTATGATTTAATAGATAGTTTCGTATGATTTTTAGACATAAATTTTATTTTTAATTTTTTATCTGATATAGTCGTGTGTTAGGCTTAACTCGATCACCTATTTTCAAAAATTGACATCGTTCAAAATATTATAGAATCCATCAAAATTATTTGCTTATAGTTTAGTTATAAATGTTTTCTGTGCATGAAAAGAAGCGATCGAAAAAATAATGGGTGGACCATCAAAAATTCGGCAATTTACGACATGCTCTCAATTCTGAAATTTGTTTTCTTCATAATATAAAATTTTTACAAAATAATACTTAAAAAATACATCCATGTCAATACCTGAATGTTATAAAAATGCAATTATCAAAAATTTTGTAATTTTCACAATTTGTATTGTCATAATTTATTTTTGTTTTTTTCTGTCGCGCGTTGCGTATTGCGCGACAACAAAGTCGTAACGCGATTAAACGCAGCGATTTCATTTATAATTACTTAAAATGTAGTTTACGTTCTTGTTTTAGTTTTGTTTTGTTGTTTAGCGATGGAAAATAAATAGATAATAATTGCAGATAACAATTTAAAGTATTTTTATCAGATTAATTTAGATTATTTGATTTTACAATAATGATAGCTATGCGATATGATTGTCGCATAGTTGTAATTTTTCACTTTATATCTAATTAGCTCTCATAATGTTTAGGGGCTAATTAGCTAACATGTAGTTCTTTTATTTCGTTTGATCGAGTAAGCATCTTCTCAGAATTGTCTTGTGGGAAATTGACTGCGATAAGAATTAGCCTTTCACTTAAATCAATGTCAGAATGTAAATAAAAGTTAGTTAATCGCCATTTTCATCGTTTTCAGCTCTAATTTCGCTACTTTTCATTTTAATTGACGTTATTTAAACAAATGTTTGTTTTGTCAGGAACATTCAGGAGTAAAATTACCAGAATTACGGCTCTAAAATGAAGAAGATAGCTATTTGTAAGGTTTGCTTACATTCTGACTTTAATCACGTTGATTGGTTCTTCGCGGGAAAATCCAGACCAGATGGTTCTGAAGAAACCTCTCATTCGTTGAACTTAAATCAGTCATAATATAAATTACCAATTACAGTGTAATAGGCGTAGAAACAAAAATTTTAAAGCCAATTAACAGCAATAACATCTTCCATAGACTTACTATAGAGAGTTGGAGTTTCCCGGGAATATTTATTGCTAGACAGTTTTGAGAACATGCTTACTCGTATATACATTGTGAAACAATATTTAATTAACAATTTATAGCTCAAAACGCGAATAAAACAAGCGAATTTATAGCGATTGTTTACATTTGATTTCCAAGATCATTGCCGAAAGGGGGGAGATATTTCCCGGCAATTTATAGCTAGACTGTTTTCACAAGTTTCCCATTGGTTAGTAAATGTAAAAAAATGCCAACTTGCATCGTCTAATATACGAAGAATCATCATAAGTAATATATAAAAATTATATGATAAAAATAGAATAATAATTAAAATGATTAAAAGTTAATTAGACATTAATTTTGAAAACAATATTAAAAAAAAAAAAACAAAAATATAAATATATAAATAAATAACGATATTATAAAGTATAATAGACACCGCGCGACAACTTCAGCGCGATAAAGTTATTGCGACACTCGCTATCGGCAACGGCGACAAATTAATTGACGTTTTTTTACCCCCTCCGTGAGTCGCATGGGTCTGTCATACCCATGCGACTCGTAAAGCATTTTTTTTCTAAAAAATGAGCGTTGCTATGCAAAAAATTTTAACAGCATGTTAATCTAATTAAAAAGTTTGAGGAATATTAATTTTTTCAAATTTTTCAAAAAATATTTAATAGTAAAAAATTTTGACTAAAAATCGCGTCTGGTCTGTCAGACCCATGTGACTAACAGAAGGTTAAAAAATGTTTCCTTATTTTTTTACTTGGGATTTCCCACTACATATTGTTTGTGTTTGGCTTTACAAATTTATCAGGTTTTATGATGTTTGTTTCTGTGTTTTATATATATATAGGATAAACATAACGTGAGCCAAACAATTGTCGAAATATATTGGGCTAAACAGTAGAATCTTGTTTTAATGGATCAAGGAATAACAGATTTTTTTATCTCCATTTTTTGGTAAACATCATATTTTTTCAACCTTTAAGTAATAAGTTGATGTTTCTGGATACTGAGAGTCAAATTGTGAATTAATTGAAAATGATATGTTCTATAAATGATGTCTGTAACCAGAGTGTCAATGCTTGATTAAATGTTCTTATCCCATAAAAGAAAGTCACCTTACGATGAGATGGCACTTCCAGGAATCACCACTTGTTAATGGTCAGACAAAGATACTCATTTGTCAGAAGACGAAGAAAATCAGACAATAATTCCTTTCCTTCAGCAAGCTAAACCTCTTAACAAGACCACAACAAACTCAACTTTCCCATCTAAAATGATCTATATATGTGCTTTGGCAGGCCAGCAGTTGACCAATCTGATTTTCCGCTGTTTCATAGCTTTCAACCGGGTCCGTCGCCCATTCAAATTTACCAGAATGTGAAACATCACCCATTGGTCCAGATTCTGACTAATCACGATGAGCCACGACTCTTCCACAACACTGAGTTTAAAAAAAAATACATTGCATGCTGTGCAAACTAAGCACATAATTGTCATGGTTCTCACTATTAATATTTCAGCTGCACATTAATGCTTTCCTGTAAAACGTTGTTTAGTGGAGGTAAACTACTTTCAGCTTAACACTTTGAAATATGCACATGTGTGCAACAAAGGTGTGACTCACCTTTGTTACAGACATGTCTTTGGGAATATCGCATCTTGAAATAGTGCTCATGTAACAGTAACATTTTGTACTGACAATGTTACCAAAATAAGCCCAGAAATGTTGCATCATCAAAGCAAACCAAGATAGACGAGTTTTCTAACATTTTGTGAAGTGCTAATGATCATACATACTTTGTTGCATTTTGGCTTACAATGTATACAGTTTCTGTCAGCTTTGTTATGGCATAATGTATGATCTTGTAATATATATATATATATATATATATGTAATATATATGCGATAACAAATTCGAATTTAAAGTGGTTTGAACATTTTTAAAATCGAAATAGATAAAAATATTTATAGCAATGTCTGAAATGTATCAATTTAATACACCTAAGTACTCAATGAAGACTAAACGCAGATGAAAACAAAAAATCGCATCTAAAATAGTACAATAGAAGCCATTCTTCCGGTTAAGCCTTAATCCTCTCCCTCTCCCCCTGCAGGGGAATTTCAAAAAATCCCTTCATAGTGTGCGTTTTCATGACGTACCCTAACTGTACCAAATTTCACCTCTTTAGGTTCAGTGATTTGCTCTGGGCGATGATTGGTCGGTCAGTCAGTCAGTTAGGACAAGCAATTTTATATATTTAGATATTTATTATGTGCAGGAGCTCTTCTACTTAAAAATGTTGAATTTTTCAAACTTTTAGACTTATGAACAATTTGACTTTGACCATAAGTCTAAAATTTAAATTCTGTGCAAATTCTGAAGTTCTCTTGTCGGTCATGGGATGATGTCGAAGTTAGTCTTTAACCAATAATAAATAATAAATTTTTAATAAATAATTCATGTAGATTTACTTCTATTGCATATTGTCATTTTTTACAATGTTCAATGATGACTCCAGAATAATTTTTCTTCAATATTTTAAATTTAAAGTTTAAGACTATTTACAAAAATATATAAACCTTTCCAGGTCTATCTTTTAATCCTTTAACACAACCACAGAAATGTTAAAGGATTAAAAGATAGACTCAAAAATGTTTATATATTTTTGTAAATAGTCTTAAACTTCAAATTTGTCATTTTTTGTTTTCATGGAAATTCTGATTTTCCATTGTCACTAGTGAGACGATGTCAAAGTTGGTAACATTGGGGTAACAACATTTTTCTCTATTTGCAATTTTTATAAAGTTTTACAATTAGTGCTTCAAAAATGTGTCCAAAACTTAATACTAAATCAAGCAGTGGAGATAAATGCAAGAAGTGTGGCTTTATTACCTTTGAAACTAAACTTGACAACATTATAAAACTAATTGTGTTGGGTGAAAAAAACCATATTTGAAACACCCATTACTAAGCAGTAGTGAATGGGTGAATGAAAATATATTCTATTAAGTACATTGAAGGATCAAATACTAACAGTAGTGGTTATTTTGTGTACAAATGTTTTGCTGTAAGTTGAAAACTAACCTTTCTAGGTTAGTTTTCAACTTACAACAAAACCTTAATGTACTTTAATATAAATGAACAAAATTTCTTAAACCTATGTATAAAATGGATCTGTAAAATAATAATAAGAATATGAATTCTATTGTTACAAAATGATCAAAAAGTCATTGTGCACTTAAACTGTATATGTAAACCAGGTATTCAGTAACTTTTTCTCTCTATAATACATAATACAGTTTATGCAATTACTTCAGATGATTTGATATATCATGTAGTTTACAAAAATAGTGTAGAAAACTGATTTACAAAATTTTCTATACAAGAAGAATGCTCACTAATTTACTATTCTTTTGATGTGTAGGCCATGGGAAGGATATTTGTTGGATTATGTCAAGTTGGTGCTTGGGGATGCTTTGATGAATTTAACCGACTTGAAGAGAGAATGCTATCTGCTGTTTCTCAACAGATACAAATGATACAAGAAACATTAAAAAATCAGCAAAATAAAAAAGATAGAGGTATAGTATAATTTTATGCATTTCATTTAGTTTCGTTATAAGAAAATACTGTTTACAATTTTACTATTCAAACATTTTCACTTAACTGTTAAACTGATACAATAGAACCTCGAAAACTCGGCCTAATGTGGACCGAAGGGTGGCAAGTTTGTGAAAATGCTGGGTTATCGGGAATGGGGTTAAAAAAATAAGTACGAGTGTTTCCTCAGAAAATACTGTACTGTACTTGTATGTATTGTTTACTTGAGAATATAACAGAGAATAAACTGCCCAAATACCCTTAAACAAAGGAAAAGTACGTCCTTTATGAAGGCATAGAGCCTTTACTACATGAAAATGAAAATTAATGAATACACTGTATACAGTAATTTACCTGATAAGACAGACCTCAGAAAAATACTTTATGAGAGCTTTTATACTTTTATAAAGCTGTCTATAATGAAAATTAATTAACTAAGGATTTTTTTGCCCTGCCAGGGTGTGGCCGAGTTATCCGGAGTTCCGGGTTATCGAGAGCCGAGTTTTCGAGGTTCTACTGTATTTCAACTATAAGTAATATAATTGTTATTTATGTAATTCAGTTTAATTTTGTTATGAATGAAAGTAAATATCGTTTATTCATAATTTTTTTTTTTTTTTTTTATGATAACTATATTTTGTTGCTTTAAAACATTATGTATAGAGAAGGATGCTTGAAAATTTATCCTCAAGCATTTTTTTCTCTATGTAATTGTTTTGTTAAAATTAAATTTTAATTATTTGAGTGTCACATTTACATTTAGCATTCTTTTAGAAAGTTGTTATTCATTTATCTTGTATGTAATAAAGTAGTTTTTATATATGTACATTCTTTCTGCCCTGTGTCTTTCTAAGAAATCTTTTTTATCAAACCCATTATTGATTCAGCCAGGTCCAGAGTAAGGAAGCTGTATGGTGAAGGACAGACCTAACCCATCCTTTACCACACAGTGGGGTAGCTGTGGACCATCCCTCAAAAAATTCATGGTGTTTTTTTTTTTTTTTTATTAATTTTGATTCATTCCCAGATTCTTCAGAATGGTAGGCTGACATCTGGCTTAAATCTGGCTATCTATAATAAACTAGTGGGAATGCTGTTATGATTTATTGTAGGACATTAGCAATTAGAAATCAGTATATCAGTCAGATGAAATTTGATTTGAAATTTTTTTTATGTAGTTCTGGTTAAAAACATCATAAATTGCACTATTTACAATACATTATAATTATGATTACACATCATAAAAGTGTAAATAATAAACCTTAGAATAAAGCAAATGAATGTGTTTCTATGAAATTAATGATTTTTTTATTATTATTATTATTTTATTTTCTACAAATGACTGATTAATGCAAGACACATTTATGCTATAAAACCACCGTAATTACATCATTATTACAGGTGGGTTTGAGACACAATGAGGTTGGCCAGCATGGTGAAGAATTAGGAACAGTGCCTTGACCTATGCTATATATGATAAATTATGGGGATCTGGACTGAGTTCTCTTAGAGATTGCTAATAGTTTCTTACACATTTGGTCAACCATTTTAAAGTCAAAATGTTTTAATTTAAAACTGAAAAATTATCAGGATATTTGAGTATCATTCAACAGTTTCTGCTTTTTCTGTTCTTGTAATTAAGTTTTCAATAATAAGCCCAAAAAAAATTTATTTTTGATTATATAAAATGCTTCATATGTATGATCAATCATTCTTTAAGCCATGTATTTTTAATTTAGCAACTTTATATCTAATCTCCTCATACTGATATAAGTTTTTGGCTTGCTAAAAATAGAAATTCCAATGAAGAATTCTGAGTTAATAAATATGTATAAGATTTATTAAGATACCATTCATCAATAAATTTTTCTTGTTTTATTTCCTTTCTTTCTATATTCCTTCCAGTATTGATTTTTTTATATTTTTTAACCTTTGTTTACACTTATAACAATAACATAGAAAAATGATCCTCTGACATTTTGCAATATCACTAAAGCTTCCTAACACATTCAGCTTAAATTTATTTTTAAACTACTACTAAATAAAATTAAATACCTTATATTGTTTATCTGTTATTAAACCAAACATTATTCTTTCATTCACTATTATTTGACCTATCAATAAATTTATTTGCATATTTTCATACAAATGAATTTGTTTAGATTTCAATCATCTAGTTTTTTCTCTATTGATGTTAATTCTTTTTTTAAAACTTTATAAATGACTTAAGACACCATAATGAGATTCCAAACTGTTTACTTTATTCATTGTTTTAGCCTTATTTTGTATTCAAGTACACTAAAATACTCTCAGCATTGCCGCTTAACTCTAGACTTATATTAGAAAATAATTCTTTTGATTGAATAATATTGTATACAGGAATAAAGAATGAATTATTAATACTTTTGTATGCATTCTGGCAGTCATTATGCTAATTAGCTTTAAAGGTAACTCATGAACTTAGTAATAAATTAACATGATACAGAAAAATTTATATAATTTTGAAATTTTTTATTCAAATTATAGAAAGATGTTTTCATTTAACAAAATCACCATTATCAAATGAAGCTTGTGCAGCAACCCAAATATGTCAATTCATATAGATCAGTGTTTTTCAGTAATCCAAGAACTGACATTCGTTTATGAAAAAATTTCACTGACCCACAGAAAAATATTTGACCATACTGAAGCTTGTGCAGTCAATTAGGGGTGATATTTTAAATAGTAATCTAGAGTTACTGTATGTACCTTATGTACAGTAACTCTAGATAAGCATGTGTAAGCGTAATAAATAAAAATAATTCATAGTCACATATAATTACTTGGTCCACATAAAATTACCATAATTTTACTGATCACAATGAGAAAGATTGAAAAACAGATATACACCATCTACATCATATTCACTCACAGCTTTCTTCATATTATATGTTCCTTCTATGTTTGTTTCTAATTCATTATTGAAATTTGTTTTTCTTTAATAGCTATTATAGCTAAGTGTTGTTTTAATTATTTGTATAGTATATTTTTTTATATAGTATAGTATCTTTTTTTTTTTTTTGTTGTTGTTGTTAATACTTTTTATTATACTTACAAAAAATTTACATTAATTACTACAGTGCACTGTTATTGATTGCCAGGTTAGCACAATTGTGTTTTATGTATCGTATGTTTAAGTTTTACAGGATTTCTACAAAAAAAATTTTTGTTTACCAAAATCTTTTGATGTATAGTATATGAACACCTCTTAGTTCTCTATTGAGTTAGTTTTAATGTTATAACCAAAGAGGTTATAATCAGTTTTAATGTTTTTAAAACATCTTTTGTTTTGTTTCTAAAATTTGTGATTTTTATTTTATATATATGTATGTATATATAATTCACAAATAAATATATATATATATATATATATATGAATTTCATTTAGAGAAATGAGAATTTGTTTTCGATTGAGAGTCATAACTGAAAAGTTTTCGTATCTGCAGTGAAAAAAAATTTTCTTTTATAATAAAAGGAATTAGAGATAAAATTTCCAAAAAGACTTTCTTAAATATTGTCAAAATTTTAAAAACTACATTTAAAAAAGCATTTATTAGAGCATTTATTCATNAGGATTCAGAACAGCAGAAAAATTGGCTAGCAAAATTGTACCCTTTTTCAAGTATGTGCAAGAACTAAGTAAAAATATATAAAGCATAAATTTTAAATTCATTAATTTAAAATGAAAAAAAAATACTACTATGATATATATACTTATTATATATATATATATAATACATTTAATTAAGCTTTTTACAATAAACAGCAATATCGTTGCACTTTTTATTTATATTTAAAAAAAGATAACTTTTTTAATATTAAATAATAAAGTAGTTTTATTTAATCTGACATATTCTAGGTTATGTGATGAACAGCTGTCTAATCAGTCCCACTATGATTTTGGTCTGAGAGCCCTGAAAAGTGTTCTTGTGAGTGCAGGAAATATTAAACGTGACAGAATTCAAAAAATCAAAGATGATATGAAAGAAAGAGGTGAAGAAGCAGATGAAGGAATTATTGCTGAACAATTACCAGAACAGGAGGTAAGTTACTTGTTAATATATAAATGACACTTTTAAGTTTTACTATTATAATTAATTTTAAGATTTATTACATACATTATGTAATAATTATAGTAACTTAATTTTTAATAGATTTTAATTCAAAGTGTGTGCGAGACCATGGTTCCAAAATTAGTTGCTGAAGATATTCCTCTTTTATTTTCTTTATTATCTGATGTATTTCCTGGCGTTTCATATACTAGAGCTGAAATGAAAGGACTGAAAGAGCAAATAAAGAAAGTTTGCCAAGAAATGTATCTTGTTTGTGGTGGTTATGATGAACAAGGATGTCTTTGGATGGAAAAAGTAAGTATACTATTTGAAAAAATTGTTACTTGAAGTGAATTTCATTTTTTATCAGTTTCTTAAAGAATAATTATAATCAATCACAATGCCACTTTTTTTAAAACAGGAAAATTTTTTTAAAGTAACAATGATTTAATAATTGATATTGTAATTAATTTTTGCTTTATTTGAATATTTTTAATTTTTTATTTAACTTTTAAAAATTTATCATAATTTTGAAGATTGCAACAGTTGCGTAGTTATGTGTATTTAATTTATTAAAATATATATATGTTTGTGTGTGTGACTGGAGGATCGGTCATCAGGATGACACCACTGTGTTCTGGCGAACACACACAGAAGCCACAATGTTTAGTTTAGTTTTACCTTAGTGACAACTAAATTATTGTAGTGTTATTTTAGTTTTACTTTATGTCAGTGGTCATGTGCGTAGGTAATCAGATTCCAAATAGAGGAGGTCAGCAAGACAGAAGTGAATCACTCTGATATCAGTTAAACAAACAAATGCTCATTTGTTTGAGCAGAAAAAATAGAAGCTATCTACAGCAAATAAACAATTAGTTATATACCATTAGTGGTTACAAGAGAGAGAGATCTCACATTTAGACCACAATTTGATGTAAATACCTGGATTTTTTTGAAGGAGCCAAAGGTTGTATGCATGAGCGGGTTGAGTAGGAGAATTCTAGAAGAGAACGACTTGTAGGTGGCTATTTCTTCAGTGCAGGAGTAGATATATTCGAGGGTGATGGATTCCAGGGTGTTCAATGTTGGCAATGATAATATAATTCATTTTCAGAGGCACAGAGTTAACTATATTGGTTGAAGAACTGGCAGTGACTGCTGTTTGAGAATTTGTGACCAATTTCATTGCAGAACTCGTGACGACTGTCCAACTGGCTGTCAGTTGTCACAGTAAAACAGCTGAATGGGGACAGCAGGCCGGAAGGTTGCAGGAAAGTTTCTTTTTTGTTTCTTAGAACAAGTAGGATGAGATGATCCCAGGGTGTGTAGGTTGATAGATATCACTGCTGACAAATTTCTATTATTGAAAATTATAGTATTATCTTTTGTTATTTTGATTATAATATTGTTGATGAAGGTCAGGTTCTCACACATGTGTGTATAATTCTTAGGATGAATAAGATTTCTGGTTTTCTTTTCAATTTCTGAATATCACTCAGTTATATTATTCATATCATATTCAGGGCTCCAACTTGCCTCTAGTCAAATCTTGTTGTGAATAAAACTTTGGTAAAATGTTGTCATTAAGTACATAACCAGATTACACTCAAAGCAAGACCTGAAAATAACATACAAAAGAAGCTTAAGTTCTTCAGTTCTAGAATTACTGCAAATTTCATCTTGAGTTCAAAATTATGAAAATTATGTTATATAATGAAAGCAAGCTCTATTAACGCACATTTATTTACTGGACTTCAAATAAACAACTATCTACAATTAACCAGTAACCGGCACGAAATTCTTTAAAATCGGCAAACATTTTCGATTCCCCTCCTGGGATCTTCTTCAGGCTTACTTTTTATACCTTTCGTTATAACTGGATTCTTTAATTCGAATGTTTTTTTAAAAATATGGAACGTGTCATTTTTCGACAAAATTTCCGAAAGTGGAAGGAATCCACGTGTTATTTCAAATATAATTTTCTACCAATGGGGATTCATTGTGTGCAATACCTCATAAAATTTATCTTATAAAATATATTATGATTTATCATCAATTAAAAATTGCCATGCTGCAGAGAGATTTATTTTTTATTTGAAATTAATGCATGCAGATTTGCGATCGGCTTTAACCCCTTTTTGTAGACATAGTTCAGACTAAGTATGTATTAGAAATTCTCACTCTTTTTTATTATTGTGTAAAAAAATTTATAATTTATTTATTATATTTATAAATTGTTAATTTTTGTAAGTGTTGAAGTTGCCTCCTAAATGGTTCCTTTTCCTCATGGATAAACAACTTTACAGGGGCAACGCCTGCGATTCATGCTTTCCTGTAGAAGTTCACTACATTGCTACATGTAGAAGATCATTATTTTTCCACTTATTCATGTATAAACATATTGAATTATATAATACAGTAGAACCTCGAAAACTCGGCCTAATGTGGACCGAAGGGTGGCCGAGTTTGTGAAAATGCCGGGTTATCGGGAATGGGGTTAAAAAAAATAAGTACGAGTGTTTCCTCAGAAAATACTGTACTGTACTTGTATGTATTGTTTACTTGAGAATATAACAGAGAATAAACTGCCCAAATACCCTTAAACAAAGGAAAAGTAC